CGGGGGGCAGCGGGGGCGGCAGGGCAGGGGGGTCGGCACCCCGAAAGAAGCAGGTGTGGTAGACAGCGGCGGCGTCGTCACCGGGGTCACCCCGGGTCCGCCGGGCACCCCCGCGGGGACCTCCTCCAGGAGCAGAGAGCAGCGGCCCGAAGGGCAGCGAGCCGGGGAGCAGGCCTGCGCCATAGAGGCAGGAACGCACGGACTCCAACGTGTCGTAGATGCTCGGGTCCTTCACCACTAGCCCTGTCAGGGCAGCAGATATCAGGGAGGGTCCCCAAGTGAGGCCTGGGATCCGAGGGCCAAGGTGGGAGGTCTAGGTTCTGTCTGTTGACCCCCCCTCCCCCGTGGTCCTGGCCTCCAAAGCCTCAACTTCTCTCATCCGAAAGTAATGGGTAGGGTACGCTGGTGGCGCACACTTGTAATCCTAGCTACTCAGGAGGATGAGATCTTGAGGATCGAGATTCAAAGCCAGCCTCGACAAAAAAACTCCGTGGCACTCCTATCTCTAATTAACCATCAAAACAAAAAAGCTGGGCATTGTTTAACAAGAAATGTATCGGGCTGGGAAGGTGGCTCAGTGGTAGAGTGCTTGCCTTGCATGCATGAGGCCCTGGGTTCGATTCCGCAGCCCCACATAAGCAGAAAAAGCAAGAAGTGATGCTGTGGCTTAAATGGTAAGAGTGCTTGCTAGCCTTGAGCCCAAGAGCTGAGGGACAGCACTCAGGCCCAGAGTTCAGGCCCCACTACCAAGAGAAGGAAAGAAAAGAAAGGAAGGAAGGAAGGAAGTCATCTGACATATAATGTAACTCCTCCATACATCAGCTTTATAGTAATAAGCTGGCAGTGGAGCTGTAACTCAAGTGGTAGAGAGCTAAAAAAGCTCAAGGACTTCACCCAGGCCCTGAGTTCAAGCCCTACAACTGGCACACACACACACACACACACACACACACACACACACACACACACAATCAATCAACTGAATTCTAAACTCAAGCTCCTCCTCTCCTGGTACGAAGGCTTGAACTCAGGGCCCGAGTGCTATCTTTTAGCTTTTTTACTCAAGGCAAGCGCTCTATCAAAAAGGCCACAGCCTTTTTGGTAGTTAACTGGAGATGAGAGGCTCACAAACTTTCCTTCCTAAGCTGACTCTGAATCATGATCCTCTGGTCTCAGCTTTCTGAATAGCAGTGAGGATAACAGGCTGAGCCACTGTGGCTGGTTTATGAACTCAAATCTTTCCAAGGACCACTTATGACAGGAGGGCCACCAACAGGATTGAGAAGCTCTATGCAGCTGGAAAATAGAGGTAATACAATGTCACATTTTGCTTCATATGGCAATTGTGAAAACCAGGATGTTCAGCAGCCCAGGCCTGTGTGGTGCCCAAAGTAGTAGCTCAGCAAACCCTTTGTCGTTGTGGAGGGAACAGAAGCCCAGTAGCTGGCAGGGATGGCAGACTGGGGGGTCTACACAGAGTAGGCAGCCCCTCCCCACCCCAATCCACTCACCATGCACCAGCCGCTGCTCCTGCACCATGAGGGATCTGTACTCTCCCCACTTCTCGTACAGGGTTTGCTGCAAGACACACACCCCCACCCAGCGTCAGGGGGACTTGCTTAACCAGGGATCAAAGAGGTTTCCAACACAGGAAGGAGCCCTAAGAGGGCAGGGGGGTGGGTGGGGGCTAGATGCTCATGTGCCCCTTACCTTCAGGTATTGTAGGCGAGCCTCCAGTTCTGCCTTCCGGATTGATGTTCCATACAGAGTTTCCAGTCTGAAGAATTGAGGGAGCAAAGGGGGAGTGAGCCCACGGGCTCACTTGATTGAGCAACTAAGTTCAATCAAGAACCCTCAGGTGCCATGGCTCCTAGTCATACCTCAGAACATTGCCAGATGCCTTGATGATGTCGACAATCTCCCGATGCCGGATGCCTTCCACATTCAGTCCATTGACACTGGCAATGGTGTCCCCTGCCAGGCAGAGAGGAGGTCAGCATCAGCTCCACAGGGCATGAGGGAAGAATTCAGATCCCTATGTTGGCTAGGAAGGGATGGGTAATAACCTCAAGGAACACTCGTGTGTGTGTGTGTGTGTGTGTGTGTATTTGTGTTTGTGTGTGTGTGTGTGTGCGCGTGCATGCATGCACGCGTGCTAATCCTGGGGCTTGAACTCAGGGCAAAGGCACCACCCCTGAGCTTCTTTTGCTCAAGACTAGTGTTCTACCACTTGTGCTACAGTTCCACTGATAAGACTTTCCAACCAGAGCTGGCTTTGAACCAGGATCATCAAATTTCAGACTCCTGAGTAGCTAGAATTACAGGGGTGAGCCACCAGCACTTGGCCTTCAAGGAATACTCTTGAACTCCCTCCCTCCCCCATGCAAACGTGTAGAAAGACCTTCTCGATATCACTTTTACTCTGTCCAATGGTGGTACATGCTACCACAATTCACCAAGGTACATGCCTGTAATCTCAGCTATTTGGGAAGCTGAGACAGGAGGATTCCAGGTTCGAAGCCAGCCTTGGTAATTTAGCAAAACCCTATCTTAAAATTACAGGGCTCAGCTGGGAATGTGGCTTAGTGTTAGAATGCTTGCCTAGCATGCTTGAAGCCCTGGGTTCGATTCCTCAGTACCACATAAGCAGAAAAAGCTGGAAGTGGCACTGTGGCTCAAATTGGTAGAGTGCTAGCCTTGAACAAAGAAGCTCAAGGACAGCACCCAGGCTCTGAGTTCAAGCCCCAGGATTGGCAAAAAAAATAAATAAACAAATGAATTGTAGGACTCAAGAGTTCTTGCCTAGCATATGCAAGGCCCTGGGTTCAATCCTTAAAATCACAAAGAAAACAAAAACCAAAACCAAAAAGTCATTTTCTCTCTGTCTACAGAGTCCACTAGTTTACCCAGGCCTGGAGTACTTCAGCCTAGGTACCAGGGTACAACAGGATGCATTAAGCACCCACATATTCACACCCTTAGGTAGGTCTGTCCCCAAAGGCTAAGCCCTCCTAGGCCCCTGGACTGCTCCTAGAGTTTCTGTGTAGCTCATACCTAGGGGGGCCAAGTGCCAATGGCTCACATCTGTAATCTTAGCTACTAGGGAGGCTGAGATATGAGGATCAAAGCTCAAAGCCAGATGGGGAAGAAATTTCTGTAAGACTCTTATCTCCTGAGTAGCTAGGACTTTAGATGGAAGCCATCATTTCCTTCTTAAGAGGATATAACGTAGGTACGCTAGTTTGAGCTGTGTTGGGGCAGGGTAGACCTTTCTGGTTCATATCAAATATACAGTGGAATGCTGCTCCTGTTCCTGCCCCAGCTCCAGCCCATGCTGGGTTGTCAGATTGCCAGGAGGAGGCAGATCAACAGCACAGCAGTAACATCACCATTTACTAGACCTTGGCTCTGTGCCCAGAGAGCACCCCCCACTTTGTGGTGCTATGCCGTAATGATGTGTTGTTACCCCCATTTTGCAGACAGGACTGTGCAAGATCACATTTCCATAGATTCCCAAACCTGGATTCTGTCCATTTACTCCCTGGCCTTCTCAAAGTAGAAGGGTTGATTTCAGGAGCGATTTCTCACACCTCTTAAAGTCATATCCTGCCCCAGTGCCCTGTTGTCTGGGCTCTGGCCCCACCTGGCGTGAGTCCAGCCAGCTGGGCAGGGCTGGACTCATGAACTCGGCAGACAAAGGTCACCATCTCCACACGCTGTTCCTCTCGGTGGTGAAGGCCATAAGTCTATAACGAACAAGGGGACCCTCAGTCTGAGGACAGGCAGATCCATCTGTCCCTCAGGCTGGCCTCCTGACCCCTAACCCCTCCATGCCCCGTTTTTCCCACCTGGATCTCAAAGCCAAAAGTCTGGTTATCCTCCTTCTCCAAAGTCAGCACCTTCCTGCAGGAGACACAGGGGTCAAGACTAACAGAAGTTTGAAGCATGGCAGAGCCAGGTGGTGCACACCCATAATCCCAGCACACAGGAGGCTGAGGCAGGAAGGTAGTGAATTCCTGGTCAGCCTGAGCTATGTAGACAGACAGTTCTAGGCCAGACTGAGCTATGTAATGACATCCTGTCTCAAAAGCCAAACCAAACCAAAGCGATCCAAAACAAAACAAAACAAGCATAAAAAGTAGGAGCGTAGCAATTCCATAGTTTGGTCCCCAAGGAGATGTGGAAGTCTAGATTAGAACAATGCCAGAAGGACCCACAGTTTCCAGTGACAAGTCACTCACAGATTTTTGGAATGTCCTTCCAGACCTAAGTGAAATTAGCCTCAAAGAGCTACACACAGAATAAACCAGACTTTTTCTTTTTCTTTTGTCCTCTTTCTCTCTCTCTCTCTCTCTCTTTGGTCGGGAGGAGGGTGTATAGCATCAGGGATAGCTGGCCCCCAGAGCAGGCTAGTTGCACCCCAGCCTTCTACTGAGCTCCAGGCCACATTCACTGATGAGTTAAGGTCTCAAATTCGGCCCCAGCCAGGAGCCTCTTGGCCCCACCCGTCAGAGGCCAGTCACGAGGGCTCAGCACAAAACCACAGCTGCTCCTCCCAGCTGTGGTGGGGCCAGCCCACCAGATGTGAGGGCTGGGGGAGGGGAGCCTGAGGCCGCCCCTTCCCGCACTGAAGGCCTGCCCGCTGGACACAATGGTCTGGAGCTGCTCCAGATCCTCGCCTGCTGGGGGAGCCCATAGTTTCCTCTGCCCACCCCACCCCCTTCCTTCCCGCCAGCCAGAGGCAGAGTTAAAGCTGTGTTAGAAGGCCCCTTCAAGTCTAGCTGCCTGAGAAAGGCTCTGGAGACCAGGCCCCTCAGCTTCCAGCCTGACCCTCGTTTCCCCACCTCCTGGTACCAACCTCCCACCTCCGATCCCAGTCCTTAACTCGGAATCACAAGTCTTTCCCTGTGTGTCCTGGGGCAGACCTGGAAGTTCCATGTCTGACTTTGTGTTCTTTGGGTTTCTGGAAGGGACAGTCAACGTTTATTGCAAAGGACCAGATGGTAAATATTTTAAGCTTTCTTTGTGGGCCTCATAGGGCCTCTGTCATACATGGATCTTTGTTTCTTTTTTTACAACTCTTGGAAAAAATATATAACAATTGTTAGCTGAATCTGGCCAATAGGCCATGCATGGTTTGCTGATCCAAGTCAGAGGAAGTCAGGACTGAATCATTGAGGGGACATGAGCAGAGAAACCGTGAGCTCCCAGGTCTTGGGCTACTTCTGACTACCTCTGGTCCTCCCTAGCCTGCCACAGAATAATAGGATTATCATACAACTAAGATTTGGGGCTCAAAGCTGGTCATATTCAAGTCTAGTCTTAGTGTGGCGCCAGTTTGCTGGCCTGAGTAGGCTCCGGGGTAAGCCCTGCAGGCCAGGCCTGGGGCAAGCACACAGCTGTCTGCTGCTGCCCTCACTCTCCACCCCTTAAAGATCGTGATCTTCCCGGGGAGGGGGTAATTGACAGGGACTGGGGGTGGCTGAGGACTACCTCATGAGTCAAAAGTCCCCACCTCCTTTCTCTGCCACCCCTACACAGAGTGTGCACCCCACCTGCCCCTCATTCCCAGTGGGGGAGCCATGGGGAAGGGTGGAAGAATGACACCCTGGGCTGGGTTAAATGCTGTGTGTGTGTGTGCAACACCCCCCCACACTCCACCCCAGCATCTCATCTTTTGGACCACCACAGGGGCTGGGATGGGGGTGACTCACCGCTGCTGTTCAGGACTCTGACTGAGGTTCTTCCAGCGGAATCCTGAGCCCTGGGGCAGGAAGACAGACAAGAGAGACAGGTGAGAGGGGGCTGTCCTTGAGCAGAAGCTGCCAGCCACCCTCTAGGAAGTCTTTCACCTGGGCTCCAGCTCTGGATACAGCACTCCATTTCCCACCTGTCTGCCCTTTCCCTGTCCCACACCTGTTTAGGTTCTGATGTATCTTTACTGAATGCAATTATTAGTATTCCCTCCAGGTTTGACCCCTGACTCCTGGGACCTTGGGGACACAGCTGTCTTCCTGTGTCTGAGATGACTCCTTGAGGTTTATCTTAGAGGTTTCATGACCCTCTGAGTCCTGGATCATGACCCTAGAATGGTCTTCACCCACCCCCATGGGACCCATGTCTGTAAGGGCTTGGCCTTCCAGACCCTAAAAGCTGAGGCTTGGGCTTTTCCCTAGCAAGATTCAAAAAGGGGTAGGGAGCCCACAGGCTTCCCTAGCAAGGCACTCCAAGACCCCCTGCCAGAGGAGTCCCCATCTAATGACCAAGTGAGTGACTTGGGAGAGCTGAGACAGAGGCCCAGGCCTGAAGAGATGACAATCAGCTTGGAATGTGGCAGAAGAGGTGCTAGTCTGCTTCAGAGACCAGTTGTCGATCCTTGCTGCAGGTACCTTCAGCCATTCCTGGGTCTCTCAAAATTACCATGTATTTTCTGGGACACACACACACACACAAATCTTAGAGGCCAAACTTGTGTCACTATACTTAAGGAGTGACAGTGTGGGTTCTTTGGGGGAGAAGAGGTGACAAAGCTGAAGACCCTTGTCTCTTCGGGGCCCTCAATACCCAAAAGCGTTGTCTCTCTTTCCCCAAAATTTGGTACCTGGAGGAAGCCCCATCCAGGACCAGTTCTTTCTCCAAGTGCCCAAACTCCCCAACAGCCAAAGATCTTCCTGCTTGGTGCTAAGGACAATCCGTGCCCTGCATTGCGCTCCAAGACAAGAAAGAGGTGGGGGCTCTCTTAATTCCAGAACCAAAGATTAGCTTGGGGCTATGTGTGCATTTCCTAAATGGGCCAAGAAGGAAGGACTAGGCAGCAACAGAGAGACCCCTTTGTCTTTCAAATGATTTTCATAAAATGCAAATTCTCAACAAGCTGCTCATTGTGTATGGGGGGGGGGACTATGGGAGGGGAGGGGGTGCTGCCTGGAGAAAGGCCACCAGTTCCCTCTCCTTAACCTGGGAGTCGCGGGTCTCTGAGTGCTCAGGTCCTGGAGGCCAGAGGAAGAGCCCCAAGGAGAGGGAGCCGCAGAAGACGGGTGCGGCCCCATCCTTCCTGCCCCTAGAGCGCCCCGCGCCCCCTCCCACCGCGTCCGGTCCTGGCTGAAGTCCAAGGAGCGGTGCCCTCGCACCCACCCCGCACCACAGTTGTGGGGCAAGGCAGTAGGCCCCAAGTTCAGGAATCTGAGCGCCCCTCCGGAAGGGTGTGCTCTCTCGGATCACGTACTTCTTTAAGAAGGGACGGCATGCGGCGCGGCCACCAACCCGGTCTCTCTCCCGCTTGGGGCTCTGGGCACCTTCACTCGTGTGGGGAGAGCAGAGGGATCTAGCCCAACTACAGAAAAGCTCGGGAGAGGGGGTCCTGGGAGCTTCCAGACACTTGGCTCTGGAGAGGCAGGACAGGGGTGTGGGGAACAGAAGGGCGAGGGGCGCACGTAGCCAGGTGGAGTAGGTCTGAGAAAGGGGGTGTTGGGACGGAGTCAAGGCAGAAGAAGAGAGGGAGAAGACTGGGGGGGGACGAGGGCGGAGAGTGGAATTGAGAGATTGGGGGCGGCATGGAGGCGGGGGGCCCGGGTGGGGACGCTTTGCGCCTTCTTGGAGAGGCCGTGGGAAGTCAATTCGGGTCAGAGGGCTGGACAATGTGGGACAATCAGAGGACCCGGCGCAGAGAGTACTGTGTGGAGGAGTGGGAGGGTCAAGCAGGCGCTGGTTGGGGTTCAGCAGGTCCTGAGCATGGGACCCAGAGTACGGAGACTCGGGGCGCAGAAGGACGCACCTTTCGGCGGGGCAGGGTGCCGCCGGACACGGCGAGCGCGCGGTACAGCTCGGCAGGATGGTAGTCCTCCAGCGCCGCGTACAGCTCCTCGCCGGGGGGACCCGGGGTAGCCGCCGCAGCCGGGCCACCCGAGGCCGGGATCGGGGTGGGAGCAGCTTCGGAGTCCGGAGCCCGGCCGGCTGGGTCCGGGGCGGCCGCTGCCTCCTCCTTCTGCTGCAGCTTCCTGAGCCGGCGGAGGGTCATGGCTCCGGCGCCCGGCGCCCCTCCAAGGCGGCTCCGGCTCCCCTCGGTGGCGCTAGAGGTAGCTGGGGGAGGCCAGCCGAGCCAGCCGCGTGTCGCCTCCCTTTATAGGCTCCGGAGCCGCGTGGGGAGCAGCCCGCGGTGGCCTCGCCCCCAGCGCGCAGGCTCCTCCCCCAGCGCGCAGGCTCCTCCCCCAGCGCGCAGGCTCCGCCCACTGGAGGTGGCGCGGGGCGGGGGGGGGGGGGAAGACCGCTGTCCCGGAGCCCCGCCTACGACGTTCGGTGACCTGCCAGTCTTGGGCCAAACTCTAGCGCACCGAGGCACTCAAAGGTCGCAACCTAGCGGCAGATCTAAGCAGGATGGGGCAAGGGGGAAACATGCTATTTTTTTTTTTTTTTTTTTTGCCGGTCGTGGGACCTGAACTCTGGGCCTGGGCGATGTCCTTCAGCTCTTCAGCTCAAGGCTAGCACTCTATCACTTTGAGCCACAGCGCCACTTCCAGCTTTTTCTGCTTATGTGGTACTGAGGAATTGAACCCAGGGCCTCATGCATGCAAGGCAAGCACTCTACCCCTGAGCCACTTTCCCAGCCCCGGAAACATGCTATTTTAGGGCGGGGCCGGGGTCTGTGTGATAACTGGAGAAGGTCTGTGAAGGGCCTTTGCACGAAATTTGAAATTTGGGAATGGATGGATTTAGCAATTCATGCAGAGGGGCACATGAGTGATCACTGCAAGGAAGCTTGGGAGCCCTTAGAAGGTTCCAGCTCCAAAGTAGTCTCCAGTCGGAGACTTTAGGCCAGTGGAGAGAAGTGGAGGGGCTATGTAGGGGAAGAAGGAGAGTGGAGACACTCCTGGACTGACTAGGTAGAAGCCCAACAGGGCATGAGAAGGCCTGAATTTCTCCTCTTACCAATGCCCCAGAATTGCTGAAAGAGGCTGCATAGCACATCTAGGGTAAAGGGAGAAGGTGGAAACCTGAACGCAGGACAGGGATTCTGGCACGTGCTCGCTACGGTCTGGATAGAGTGGTCCCTGATGGATAGACTTCTTCTGGGTTGTGATGCTGGACCTCAGGCCCCCTTTTCCCAGATTGACTCATGGGGTTGGGGGTGTGCCCAAGCAGAGTGAGCACTCAGAATTGATGAGCCATCCACAGACCCTGTCTTAGGGACCATTCCTCAGACTCTGTTACCATGGCTGCCAGGCTGTAGGAGAGGCTGGGATGGCCCAACCCCAGACTTTCGTCAATGGTGCCTGAATAAGAAGTGAGAGAAGGAAGTGGAAGGCCATGTATAGTCACTGTAGGACGTCAGCACAAGCCTGGGCTACACATTCCAACGGGAGCCACTACAGAGTGGCTTGGGCTACACTGTCCCTGTCTCCTTTCTCTAGACTTTCCATATCTGTATGTCAAGGGTGTGTGTGTGTGTGTGTGTGTGTGTGTGTGTGATGGTACTGGGGTACTGGGACTTGAACTCAGGGCCTCTCACTCTTGCTTGGATTTTTCTGCTCAAGGATAGAACTCTACTACTTGAACCACATGTCCACTTTTGACTCTTTGGTGGTTAACTGGAGATAAGTCTCATAGACTTTTCTACCTGGGCTGGCTTCAAACTGTGATCCTCAGACCTCAGCCTCCTGAGTAGCTAGGATTACAGATGTGAGCCACCAGTGTCCAGCCCTGCTCGGTTCTTCATCCTGCCTCTGAGCCCTTCTCTTCACCACCTGGTACCCACTAGGTGCTGGGGATAAGGATAGCTTTTGGTCTGGAAGGGAGTGGCATACTGTGCATGTGCTTTGCATAAGGAGTGCAAAGGGGCAGACTCCACACCCACCTAGGGAGGCCAGGCAAGGCTGTCTGTCTCAGTTCACCAGTCTGGCTCAGTCTCACAGACTGTCTCCTGCCTACATCCACCCCCACACCCCTGGGCCCCCGGCCCCACTAAGGTATGGGTGGGTGTGAGTGTTCCCTCCAGCCCTCAGTAATTGCACAAGTCCAGATGGCAGGATGTATGTGGGGTGGGAGGCAGGGGAGGCTTGGGCACTGTGGAAGCTGAGAGCTCCCTCCCTCAGGGCCCTCCTGTCCCACCTCCTCCTTGGACCACCAAGTGGCCATCAGCTGAGGGGCTGAGAGGGTGTCAGTGGGGAAACATGGGACTCTATTGTGAGCATTAGCACAGATGGACCCCTGGACCGTCTGTTGCCTCTTCCTGACAGACTGGCATCTGTGGCGGGGGAAGGGAGGGGTGGCAAAGGCAGAGGAGCAATAATTTCTTTTGTACTCATTCCAGTGCTCATCCCTGAAGGGACCCCACAGCACTCCTAGTCCAAACTCTTCCGTAAAGGATCCACAGAGTCATCTCCTTGCCTGAAGCCTGCCCAAGTGGCTTCATTTGTGTCTAGCAAGCCTGACTACAGTTCTCCTTCAGGTCAGTATGGAGGTGGGGTCCCACTTCCCTGCTCACTCGCTTCTCGGTTTATGCAGGTGAGAAAGTCTCCCTGACTTTAAGTGAGAGGACACCAGGAGAAAAGAAGTTCACACCTCAGTTTCCTCCTCCACAGGGCAGAAAAGTACTAGAGAACTCCAGAGTAAGGATGAACTCAAAAAAGCCATTTTCTCCTATCCTTTGTGTTACTTCCTTAAATCCTGAGGTTTCAGAGCCAGAAGGGGCCTTATACTCCGGAAAGAACAGCTGTGGCATAAGTGTTTATGTCACAGAGGTGAGGGAGGGAAAGACTCCAGTAGAACAGGCTGGGGAACCCGGGAGTCCTGACTCATACCACTAATTCAGTCCCTGAATCCGTGCTTGCTTCATCCCCAGTTTTTCCAGGAAGCGATGGAGCGGGGAGGGGGGAGGGGGGGGCGAATGCCACACTACAGAGTGGTAACGCCCTCTGCTGGTCATGAGATTGATGGTGAAAAAAAAAATCTTCAAACCAAAAGGTTGGCTGGCTGGTGCCAGGTACCACCTGTACTTCCAGCCACATTTTAGGATGGGTCAGACACAGTCCTTGTAGCTCCCAGGAGAATTCGTCCAGCTGGCCACAGTTGTGGAATCTCACACTTGTCAGGGAGGAAGCTGTCTCTGTGTGCAGGACTCTGCTTCTGCCTTGCTCCGGGTGAAAGGGCGGCAGCTGCTGGCCTTCTCAGGGCAGCAACCTTCCCATGCCACAGTGGGCATGAGGCGCCAGAGTCCCTGCCTTCCCACGCTCTCCCCCACCCCCTCCTGAGTCCCAGTCTTTGCTCCAGCATCTGTTTTTCTCATCCAATCTGCTGCAGCCCTTTCCAGCCTGGGGGGGGGGGAGCTTTCTGCAGGCTTTCTGTAACTTCATGTACCAGCCCACTCCCCCTCCACGCCTCCTTGCAAATCCCCCATGGTCAGGACTCCTGAGACATCTGTCCTCCATCTGTGTATGATTCTCAGGCAGGTTTCTCTCTTTGGATGAGCTTGAAGGTTTCTCTTCCTCTGGTTCCAGCTGTCCTGGCAACCAACATTCAGGATGGGGGCTCGGGGAGGGAGGGATGGCCTGGATAGGGACTTTGGGTAGTAGGGGAGGGGGAATGGTGAATGGTAAGGTCAGATACCATCCCTTCTTTTCTGGAAAAGCATTTACTCGGACACCCACTAGTCAACAACCCCTGTGGGAGAAATGAGGAGGGCTGACTCTTGCCCCCCAATGGACCAGCTTAAATTCTGGGACCGCATCAGGAAGTTGAGTCACTTGAGCCCAGAGCTGTACAAGTTTAGGCCTCTGGAGTCTCATTCTGTCTCAGGCTTCTAGCATAGAGCTAGAGGATCCAGGACTGGTCAGGTCAAAGAGCTTGCTGGAGCTCCTCTCTGGGTGTTGATGCGGCAGGCAGAAGAGGGCCTGGGGCTCAGCTGGTTCTCTGGTTTGTTAAGGAATGAGGGGCTGGGCCTCCCATTGGATGACATCAGCTCTTGCAGGAGGCATGGACAGCTGGTGGGCAGCTGGCTGGGCAGGGAGTGATTGTTTTTCTGAATGGCTCCTGTGGCCCAACAATTCTCGTGGTCTGTGTTGGTGCTGGTGTTCTGCTAGGGGAGAGTGTCTACCTACAGGATTGATTCAGTACAGCTCCAATGATCTGAGAGACTGGAGTAGAAGGCAGGTGGACATAGCAGTTTGTGTTGGATGTGGGTAACTCTTGGTCTTTCCCACCCTATTGGATGGGGGTTGAGGGAGTGTGTCTCTACCTACAACAAGTTAACAAGTTGACTTGGTATGAGGAAGGGAGGCAAACTCTAGTTTTCATCACAGCATTTCTGAAGAAATGGAATATGTATGATCTTACCCCTTAATGTCAGTATACTCTTTACTCAAGGTAAAGATCAAAAATGACAGTTCTGAGGGCCCCTACCTGCCCAGCAAACATACTGCTCAAGTTGCTTAATCCCTGTTTTCCTCTCCAAGACCAGCAGTGTGCATCACCCTTCCCAGTCTCCAAACACAAGACTACCAGGCTGAGACTGTCTTATTAATGCCAGGCTGGATTTGGCTCCCGTTTCCCACAACAGTTCCATCTGGTCATTCCCCCCACCTGAGTACTCTGCCATTCAGTACTCTGCATGGCCTCCCAAAGGCAGACACCCAAAGATAAACATGACCTCATCATGTGCAAACCTCCCTACTATGTTCTGAATATTGGTGTCCCTCAAAATTCTATGTTGGAACTCAGTACTTAATCATATTAATATAGGGCCTTTAGGGAGTGATTAGGTAAGAGTCTGTTAACATGAATGGAGTCAGTGCACGCATAAAGGAGGCTGAAGGGGGCCTGCTTCCCCGTCTTGCCTGGTGAGGATTTGTAAGGCATGATCTGTGATGAACACACTGAGTCTGCTGGTGCTTTGAACTTGGATTTCTCAGCCTCCAAGAAAAGTGAACAATAGAAATTTATGCTCATAAATTATCCAGTTTAATATGTCCACCCATACACACCCTGGGGATGGAACCCAGGGCTTCTCACATATGGGCAAATACTCTACCACTGAGCTATACACCAAGCCCTAAGGTGGTAATAATAATAATTATTATTGTATGCATATTGATACAGGGGCTTAAACTCTAGACTTCTCACTTTTGCTTGCCTTTTTCCATTCAAGGCTGGCATTCTACTACTTGAGCCACATATCTACTTTTTTTTTTTTGCTGGTTAATTAGAGATAAAGAGTCTCATGGACATTTCTGCACAGACTGGCTTTGAATGCAATCCTCAGGTTTTAGGATTAAAAGCATGAACCACCAGCACCCAGCTAATTTATTGTTATTGTTATTATTTGGTGGCACTGGGGTTTGAACTCAGGACCTTGTCTTGCTAAGCAGGTGCTCTACCACTTGAGCTATGCTGCCACTCCCCTACCCCTTACCCATATATTTTTTTTTGGGTCCGGTCGTGGGGCCTGAACTCTGGGCCTGGGCGCTGTCCCTCAGCTCTTCAGCTCAAGGCTAGCGCTCTACCACTTGAGCCACAGCGCCACTTCCGGCTTTTTTCTTTCTGCTTATGTGGTGCTGAGGAATCGAACCCAGGGCCTCATGCATGCAAGGCAAGCACTCTACCACTGAGCCACCTTCCCAGCCCAAGGCAACTCTTCTTGACTTAAGCCTCCTTCCCAGTCAGCAGAGCAGTGCCTCTCCCAAAACAATGCCTGTCTTCACTCCAACCTCCCGTTTCTCCTGTGGTTCCCAGTGTTTCATCTGTTCTTGTCATAGTGCTTTACCTCTCTCTCCATCACAGCCATTGTTCACTAGGATGACATCGCTTCTTTTCTTGGATACCTCCCCTGTCAGCTCCATGACACTTGGGGTATCATATGAGATTTGCTGAAATCTACCTTTTTGTCTCTCAACAAATCTAATCTCTCCATGGTAAAATACTTCTTCTCATAGTTTCTTGGGCCCCTGCTCAACTTTTTGTTGTTGGTGGTGGTAGTTGTAGGGCTTGAACTCAGCACCTAAGTGCTGTCCCTGAGCTTTTTTCCTCAAGGCTCACGATCTACCACGTTGTTCCACAGTGCCACTTCCAGTTTTCTGGTGGTTAACTGCAGATAAGAGTCTCATGGACTTTCCGGCTGGGCCGGCTTTGAACCATGATCCTCAGTTCTCAGCTAGGATTACAGGCGTGAGCCACCAACGCTCTACAACTGCTTCTTCTGTGATAATGCCCTTGGATGTTCCCTCAAATAATTAAAAACAAAAATAAAAAACTCCACCTCCTTTAGGGCAGAGATCATGGACTGTTTGTTTTTGTGCTCTGTCTACTGCTTTACACACTAGGGTTGCTCAACAAATAGAGCCTAGCCCATCCAACTGTTCCTGGATTGGTCTTGTCCCATCAGCCCCCATCTATAGCTTCCAAGAAGTCTCAAAAGGATCTAGTACCATCTGCCATATTCCTAAAAGATTACTCTTTCTGACCATAGGACACCCAACAACTTATAAGCTATGGGGTTGTTATTTGATCCGTGCTGGCTATGAAGGTATGTGTTAGATGTGATTAAAGTTTTTATCAGTAGACATTAAATAAAGCAGGACAGCCTCTATGTAAGCTTTTTGTCATTGAAACAGGTACTTAAGATAATCAAGTTCAAAAGGGAGAAGGTTAGTTTAGGTTGGCAGTTTGGAGGTTTCAGCTGTGACTGATTGGCATCATGACTTTGGGCCTGTAAGAGGCAGTACAGGATGGTAAGCATATATAACTGTGAAAGGAAAGCAAAAGAGACTAGTATTCCCATCCTTATTTCCATTGTTTTTCAGTTTTGTTTTTGGTGCCAACACTGGGACCTATCTGTGTCTAAATGAGCACATGTAAGAGTATGTGTCCTGGTCCTGAGGCTTGAACTCAGGGGATTATTCCTTAACTTTTTCACTCAAGGCTGGTGCTCCACTACTTGAGCCACACTTCCACTTCTGTTTTTTGGGTGGTTAATTGGAGATAAGAGTCTCATAGGCTTTTTTTTTTTTGTTCCAGCTGGCTTTGAGCCATGATCCTCAGATCTGTCTTCTGAGTAACTAGAGTTACAGATGTGAACCACTGTGGTGTGGCTCCACCAAGTCCTTATTCTCTCATGATTTCACTTGGCTTTGCCTGATCACTTTCCTTCTTCAGAGTAGGTGGGTACCTTGGGCGGATTGGACAAAGAAGGGCCACACAGTCCCTTCGGTGGCCATTTCCCCACTGACCTATAAGACCTTTCAGTAAGCCCTACCTGCTAAATCCATTATATCCTAAGGGTTCAGTGCCTGACCTTCAGGGACCATACCTAGCACCTTCTCTAAGGTGGTGAGGGTTTCATCATATCAATCCACGAGTCTGAGTCTGTCCTTAGACTCATGACATCAGTCCTTCCCTGGGTCTCTAGTCTGCTGGCCCATCTTGCAAATCTGGACTGGCCAGCATCATGTCTATAGTTAGGTCTCTATATCCCATTGGTTTTGTCTCTGGCAAACCCTATAACCACAGGTCCTAGGTTTGATCCAAACCTTTGTTCCCCTTTTCAAGTTCCCTAGTCAGGCATTTTAGCTCTACTACACCTAATTTTGTTTTGGTTGTATTTAGAAAGCATATTTTCAGGACTGTACCTGAACATATATGGCCTAAGGCTTAGAAATTCAAGATGTAAGAAACAAAATCACAAGTAATATACCATTCAAATTAAATCAGGTCTCCTGTGCCATTGTCTTACCAAGATGAGACAGAGTAACTGCCAAGAGCACCGGAAGAGGTACCAGAATGGCTGCTATTCTGGTTTTCATACTACTAAGGTTGAACTTGCAAACACCTAGAGAATGTCAGGACCATGTCTAATTAGGACCTAATAATTGTCAAGCTGGAACAAAGGACAGGTCTACAGTGACATTTAACGGTAAAAGTTCAAGGTCCTAGTACTGGTGGCTCATGCCTGTAATCCTAGCTACTCAGGAGGCTGAGATTTGGGGATTATGATTGGAAGCCAGCCCAGGCAGGAAGGCTTATTGCCAATTAATCACACACACACACACAAAAAAGCCAGAAGTGGAGGTGTGGCTCAAGTGGTAGAGCACTAGCCTGGATCACCAAAGTTCAGAGACAGTGCTCAGGCCCTGAGTTCAAGCCCCAGGTCCAATACCAAAAATAAATAAAGACACGAGGTCCTGCATTAAGAGGTCAAAATATCAATTGCCATCTGCAGGATTGAGAGAGAAAAAGCTGAGAGATGAGCTGAGTCTTCGGATGACCTTGGGTGCATCAGGCAGTCTGTGGACTCGGTGCAGTTTATGAATTCTGGTGGAGGGTCCGCAACCTGGCTGGCCCAGGGCTTTAGCTAGGTGGGTAAAAACCACAGAGCCATGACAATAGAGTGGCTAAGGAGCCACTGTGAGATCTTGGGCAATTTATTTGACTCTTCTAATCCACAGTGAGAATCACACCCACCTCACATGGTTGTTTTGATTAAGGGAGTTAATACATGTAGAACACATTTTGGCAGAGGTAGGTTTAGAATAGGTATTTTTGCAAATACCAACAGAATGATACATGATGGCTGCCTTCACATATGGTGTCCTTACACGAAAAGGCCTTTTAGCTGCTCTGAAACATCTTCAGAAGGTACATGGCTGTCTGGTCCTTTCTCCCACTGCAACCTCTAGATAGGAGCAGTTGTGTTAAAATTCAAAGGCAGTCACCTGGTGGGGGTACAGGAGGGGAGTTGGATACCTGGTGGACAAGATAATCCTCAGGGTACCATTTTGTAACTTGAGACTCTATCCTTCTAGCACTTGTTATTTTGGATCCCCTCAGCCTAGAGGCACAGGGGACACACACATCATGCTCTGAATCTGCCAGCAAAACCATTGAGGATTCCATCTCAGTCACCTATGCACCCCATAATTCAGGATTATGCTCTACTCTAGGAATAAAAACAAAGCAGGAGAGGGCTTTTAGGTTACCCTGCACACTTGTGACTACCTAGGGTCTAGACCATCTTTTTTTTGCAGGCCCTGGGGTTCGAACTCAGGGCCTAGGCACTGTCCCTGAGCTTCTTTTGTTCCAGGTTAGTACTCTACCACTTCTGGCTTTTTCTGAGTAGTTTACTGGAGATAAGTTTGGCTGGCTTTGAAACCCAATTCACAGATCTCAGCCTCCTGAGAGGTGTGAGCTACTACTGCCCAGCTTAGACCCTTTTGGGTAAGAAGACAAAAACAAAGACAGAGAGAAAGCGCACAGAGAGAAGGTGCTCAGTGTACACAGCTGCTGCCCCCTTGGGCCCGCCCTCTATAAGGCACATCAAGTCCCAGGAAAGACCCTAGACTTGTGAACATGAGCTGCTGAAACAGGGGCGTACATGGGCCCCGGCCAGGGGAGGATGGGGATTCTACCCCAGAGCTCCTGTGTCCCCCTACAAGCACTGGCAGCCATTCTCCATATTGAAGACAAACAGCACCAGTAAAGTTCTGTGAATAAAACTTTTAATAATGTACAGCAGAAATCGGACAGGCTCATTCTTATATTAAAACAAAAGATTTCCTATATTACAATGTATTTACATTTGCATACTGAAGAGGTAAAGTGTCTAAGTGGCTATTTTACAGTCCTTTCTAATAAAATGTACAAAAACAAACAGAAGTACCGAGAATGCCGCACGGGGCCTCGATGGCGACGTGGGAACGGGCTTGGACTCCGTCTGTGAATCCAGAGGTGCGCACAGCCCTGGCCTCAGTGACGCCACAGAGTGCCAGAGCCACAGCTTCAGCTCTTCCCAACTCTCACTGGGCGTTAATAGTACGGGAGAACAGCAGGGGCCCCAAGGAGTGGGCTAGTGACTTTGAAGTCACCGGGTGGACTCACATTGGCGGATCCCAGAGGCTAGCTGTGACCAGGGCAGTGGAGTCTTAAGTTCATCATCACTTGTAACGCCAAGGTTCTGCTGCAGGGCTGGCAGGTCAGTGGGAGGTCAGCAGGGATGGGTAAAGAAGGTCCCCTAATGACACATTGGTATTCAAGGGAAATTAATCAGTGGCCAGTAAATTGGCCCAAAGGATTAGAGGAAGATCTCCTTTGATGCAAGAAGAGAAGTGACACATGGGGAAAATAAATAGAAAGGCCAGGAGTGCAGGAGACCAAGGGCAGGGGAGGGCTCTCGGTCCCTCCTCCCCAGCTTTGGCAGGGAAGCTGCACACATAACATGCCTCCCCAGGCACAAGGGGCTCAAGATGAATGCAGTGCTTTGGAGGGGGTCCACCTGGGGTTTCAGAGCCCAGGTCTTGCTGCCCACCAGTGGTCTCTGCAGAGGGGATATGGGAATCCTCTCTCCTCAGTGGTCTTATTTAAAACAATTCCAGGCTCAAAAAGCTCTCAGAACCAAGCACGAAAACATCTGGCTTCAAAGCAGGCACTCACTTGACTGAGCTCCCTCTTCAGTGCTCTAAGAGCAGCACCTAAGCCTGTCTAGTCCAACACAGAGGTATTTCCAGGCCCAGCCAGCATGGGTACTCAGCCAGCACTTGACTCTCATTTGCTGAGCCAATGCCTGGAGCGGCACAAGCACAAAAGATAAGGGTGCTCAGAGGGGGTAGGGGAGAGACAAAATTCAAGAGACACCAAGCCCCCAGGGCAAAGAGGAAATCTCACTGCTGAGTGGGAACAGGCTCAGGTGCAAGGACAAACATTTCCAGTGTGATTGAGCTATGTGCGTGTGATTGAATTTTTTTTGTTTTTGTTTTTTTTCAGGGATTTCTTCAAAACAAAACAAAACAAAATAGACTGAGAGGTAATCATCACATAGAGATGGTTTCCTTTTACAAAAACTTAACATTTAAAAAAAGTTAAAATCCAGACCCTCCCAATAAAATAAAATAACAATAAAATAAATCAAACCACTCCAGTTAAAAGTTATGGCTTCAAAGTTATTATATACCTAAGATATGCTGACCAAATCACCACCCACAACCGTGCTTCTAGACTTCATTAAATACTATACTTAGGTTAAATAACATGTTCAGCTCAGGCTGTTCCCTTTAGCAGGGCCCCTGAAGTGGATGCAAATCTCTCATCTTCCCTCCATCCTGATTGGATAATCCAGCTCAAGGTCCGTGCAGACGCCGCCCTCCCACCCCAGTCTCCCTCCCACTTAGTGCCCCACCCTTCCTTTCCCCACCCCAAACCCACCACCACCAAAAATATACACTGCAGTTTGTAGAATCTGGGATGGGATAGACAGATGTGACATTCCAATGTGAGTCCCAAGGACTCACTTCCGACTCCTTGGCCCTTCCTGATGCTGTTGAGGGTGATGCCCTTGGGCTGGCTCATTTCCCACAGCTGATGCTGACCACAACACCCAAGATTTCTGCCAAGATTCTTTCTGCCCATCCCTCTCCCCCTCACATTTTGACCAAAAGCCTCTCCTGCCATGGACAGCTGGGCCAGCTTTGGTTCCAGTCTGAAATGGAAGAGGAGAGGCTGACATGGGATGGGCGGAGCAGCATGCTGGAAAGAGGGCTACCGTGGCAGGGGTGGGATGGGGGATACCTCCAGGAAGGGCCCCAGGGAAACTAGATGTTGCTCACTATGCACAGAGGCACCAGCACGCAGACGGCAGGACAACCACACCCCCGGCCTGCACATGCACAGAAAGCTCAAGCAGGTAAGTGCGCACCTACAGACACACACGTACACACACGTTAAGGGCAGGCGAGGCACGGACCAGGCACAATGGGGACGCACCTCGGCACATGCACACGCGGCTGGACAGACAGCTGGCAGGTGACTCCACTGGCAGTTCCTCCAGATGTCCATGTGAGGAGGGGAGCACACAGCTCAGAGCTGCCTGTGACAGGGGCTGTACTTCGGTTCCCCTGGATACCTTGGGGTACTGTTGGCTGGTCCCTGGAGGAAAACCTGCAGTGCTACTTAGCACTGGCCACAGTGCAGCTCCTCCTGGCCCCTTGCAGGCCATTCTATCACTACTCCTGGCTATGTGCCAGATGCACCGGGTTTTGTGGACTTTCCACCGCAACCAGTTCGAGTTGTGGCATTGAGTTCTCCACATGATTCACTCTCAGAGTCTCCATGCCATCAGGAGGTAAATAAAAAAGGTTATCTGTGTCTCAAACCCAACAGGGGAGCAAGCGAGTCTCCCGGGCTCTGTCCCTGTTGCGGGCCAGGGCTCTGACCACAGTGGGCTGGGCAGAAACGAGAGGTAGGCCTCCACTGTACGCTCAACACGGCAGCTGCGTGTCATCCTTGCCGCCCAGGCTGCATGGAAGGGGAGGAGGTTAGATCTTCACATCTTCCTGCACGCTGAGCTGTGAGAGGGTCTTCTTGATGCGCAGTGCAGTCAGGCGGGCCGCGCCATTGGCATACCAGCACTCCCGCATCATCTTCCCCATCACCCGCAATGCCTGTCAGGAGAGATGCAGGGCTATCAGCTTGACCTTGACCCAGAAAAGCTTTCTGGCCCTTAGGCACTGGCTCATTTCCCTGCTGCCTCCTCATCTATGCCAAGACTATCAGACTCTTTGACACCTTCCAACCAGGGAAATTCTTTGCAAACTTCTCCCCTTTGCTCTTCCTTCTAAGGAAGAGGCTGTGCAGGGGAAGAAAAAAGCTGCAGTTAAAGGCCAGCTCTCTCTGCCTCACTCTCAAATCTAACCAGAGGCAGTGAGGAAACATTTTGGAAAATGTTGTTCTATTATGCAACAAGAAAACATGGGGGAAATGGGAGCTAATGTTCTTGGTGCTGAAACGCCCTCTCATGGCTGTGTTCTTTAAAGGCAGAGCCGACCTTTTCTGCTCCACTCTAACACATATGCTATAGTTGGGGGGAGAGGAAGGTTGGATCCAAAATATGGTGAGGAGAGTTAGCAAAGCTGTATGAGATGCTTGAAATCTGCTAAAAGAATATATATATATATATATATTGGTGTCAGTCCTGGGGATTGAATTCAGGATCTGGGAGCTGTCATTAAGCTACTTTTTTTTTTTTTTTTTTGCTCAAGGCTAGCACTTTACCTTTTGAGCCTCCTGTTTTTTGTTTTTTGGTGGTTACCTGGAGGTAGGAGTCTCACAGACTTTTCCTGCCTGGGCTGGCTTTGAACTGCAATCCTCATTATCTCAGCCTCCTGAGTAGCTAGAATTGTAAGCATGAGCACCAATGTCCAGCACATTTTTAATTTTTTTGTGACAGGCCTAGGCTGACCACCCAACTCACAATCTTCCTGCCTCAGGCCTCCGCAACCATGCCTGGAATGAGGAGACCCAGTCTTAAATGTGCTCATTACACATGCATAAAGGCAACTAGGTACGGTCACAGATGTGCTACTTGACTGTAGTAATCCTTCACAATATATACACTATCAAATTAGCCTGTGTACACCGTAACTATAATTTCACTTGTCGATCACGGCTCAAATAAAACTGATTAAACACATAAATAAGTAGAAAGAATAGCAGGATGATGAGTGAGAAAGTAGCCCCTATGCACTCAGCTAAGCAAACCTTGTTCCCCTGAAAACTCTTAAAACCCCAAAACTCAGGCTTCTTAGGAATCTGTCATCAACTAAACAGTATACCAGCCATTTCCACCAAATGCTGTCACTCCCCGTTTCACCCACCACGTGTCCCCAATCAAATTCTCCTATCTAATGCTGGCTCTTCACATGTCATCTTCTTCTCTGCAGTTTTTAGTAGGGCCACTGCTCAAACACGCCTCTTACTTTTGTGATACTATCCACAAGCTCAGCTTGTGTGGCTGCTAGTTCTACTGTTCCACAGGAAGCCAAGTGCGGGTTTTCTCCTGTACTACTACATCAGCATTTTCTCCTATACTACCACATCATCAGTCCATGTGATAGTCTAACCCCCCAACCCCCAACCCCCATTTCTGTCTCTAGCTGACCACCTCCATTATCTATTGCCCAAAAGAATCCTATTTCCTTTAGGCTGTCACCTCCAAAGAGGACAAAGACTATAGCCCAGAGGGATTAGTAGTAACTGCATAGAATAGTATAAACAGCATTTTTTTTTTTTTTTGGGTCCAGTCATGGGGCCTGAACTCTGGGCCTGGGCACTGTTCCTGAGCTTCTTTTTTTTTGTTTTGTTTTTTTGGGCCGGTTGTGGGACCTGAACTCGGCCTGGGCGCTGTCCCTCAGCTCTTCAGCTCAAGGCTAGTGCTCTACCACTTGAGCCACAGCACCACTTGCGGCTTTTTTTTCTTTTTGCTTATGTGGTGCTGAAGAATCGAACCCAGGGCCTCATGCATGCAAGGCAAGCACTCTACCACTGAGCCACCTTCCCAGCCCCTATAAACAGCATTTCTTACCTGAAATGACTAGAACTACAAGTGTGGTGGGTTTCAGATTCTTTCACATTTGAGAAATATTTATATATAAACAATAAGATCTTGATGAGAAGCAAGTCTGAGCATAAACTTCATTAATACAGTATTTGTAATTAATTAACTAATTAATCAATATTTTTTTTGTCCATCACGGGACCTGAACGCTGTCCCTCGCTCTTCAGCTCAAGGCTAGCGCTTGAGCCACAGTGCTACTTCTGGCTTTTTCTGCTTATGTGGTGCTAAGGAATCAAACCCAGGACCTCATGCGAGGCAAGCACTCTACCACTGAGCCACCTTCCCAGCCCCAATACAGTATTTTTAGTGAGCCTGCATTTGTTTTTCCCCTACAACTTGAGGGCAAGGTGACCTGTCATATGAGATCAGGTGAGGAATTTTCCACTTGTGACACCATGTTGGTAATCAAAAAATTCAGATTTTTTTTTGGGGGGGCGGGGGACTTGGAATGTGGCTTAGTGGTAAAGTGCTTGCCTAGCATGCATGAAGCCCTGGGTTTGATTCCTCAGTACCACATACACAGAAAAAGCCAGAAGTGGCATTGTGGCTCAAGTGGTAGAGTGCTAGCCTTGGGGAAAAGAAGCTCAGGGACAGTGCCTAGGTCCTGAGTTCAAGTCCCAGGATTGGCAAAAAATAAAAAATAATTCAGATTTTTGGCAGACATGGTAGCATATGCCTGTAATCTCAGTACTTAAGACTACAATGGGGGGGGGTAGTTGTGGAGGTTGGAAAGGAAGGATGGTAAGGGGAAAACAAAGGAGGAAGCAACAATGCTCAAAAGGAAATGCACTCATTGCCTTGCTCATGTAACTGTAACCCCTCTATAACAGCATTTTTACAATAAAAAAAATGTACAAAAACATAAAAAAAAAAAAGACTACAATAGTGAGTTAGTTGAAGACCAGCCTGGGCTACAGAGCAAGACTATCTAAAGAAACAAATTAGGAACAATGTCAGGTTTTGGACTTTCAGATAAGGGATGTAAATCTTTACTATGATGCAGATAAGAAAAGCCACAGCAGTCAAAGAAATGTCCTACCTCATAACTCTGCCACCAGTTGGGGATGTTGGGGCGTAGCTTCTGGTCACAAACGACCTTTCGCATTTCCTCAATGGAAGGGTCAGAGGGCACTAAGTCGTAATATGGTAGTTGATACTCTTCATGGACTCCTAGGAGAAAAGACACTCTCAGCAGAAGGAAGGGAGAGATTGCTCTGCAGCCAATGAGCAGCCCACACTTTGGTCTGCAGTGCTGCTTCCCACTGTGATGGACGTGGGTCAACAAGGAAGGTTGTTATTCCAGATATGGTACAAGAAACTCACAAAACACCACCACCAACCCACAAACAGCCAGAAACAGGATTTTTTTCTAATAAAAGGCAGAGAATCTATTGACGATTACTGGGGTTACTGAAAATTTCCCAACTAGCTAATGATGAGCTACTGATGCCAGGCTGAAACTAGTATTTTTTTTTTTTTTTTGCCGGTCATGGGGCCTGAACTCTGGGTCTGGGCGCTGTCCCTCAGCTCTTCAGCTCAAGGCTAGCACTCTACCACTTGAGCCACAGTGCCACTTCCGGCTTTTTCTGTTTATGTGGTGCTGAGGAATCGAACCCAGGGCCTCATGCTTGCAAGGCAAGCGCTCTACCGCTGAGCTACCTTCCCAGCCCCGAAACTAGTATTTTTAAATCTATCAGCTCATAGTGATTCTAAAAATAAAAAGAAAGAAAAGAAAAAAAGAAGCCTGGCATCAGTGGCTCATTCCTGTAATCCTAGCTACTCAGGAGGCTGAGATCTGAGGATCACTGTTCAAAGCCAGCCAGGGCAGGAAAGTCCGGTAAGTAGCTCTCTCTTATCTCCACCTAATCACCAGAAAACTGGAACTAGCACTGTGGCTCAAGTGGTAGAGCCCTTGTCTTGAGCTGAAGAGCTCAGGGACAGCACCCAGGCCCAGAGTTCAAGCCCCACAACTGACCAAAACAAAACAAAACAAAACAAAACAAACAAAAAAACCCTCAGTCATCTTTTGAGTGTGCTAGGCATTAGCTCATTATTTTGAAAATGGTTCATAAATGGAAAGAATCAAGCATTTTTCCTGACACTCTTAGTCAACCTTTACACCTGAGTAACCAAGTAGACAATTTGGGAAGTTTCATGTTAAAGAAAAATCCAGGCTAGCCAGGTGCCAGGGGCACCTGTAATCCTAGCTACTCAGGAGGCTGAGATCTGAGGATCATGGTTCAAAGCCAGCTAGGTCTTATCTCCAATTAACCACCAGAAAAACGGAAGTGCTAGCCACCCTGAGTGCTAGCTCCCAGCACTCAGGGAGGGCTGGGAATGTGGGTTAGTAGTAGAGTGCTTGCCTACCATGTATGAAGCCCTAAGTTTGATTCCTCAGTACCACATAAACAGAAAAAGCTGGAAGTGGTGCTGTGGCTCAAGTGGTAGAGTGCTAGCCTTGGGCAAAAGAAGCTCAGGAAGGGCTGGGAAGGTGGCTCAGTGGTAGAGCGCTTGCCTTGCATGCATGAAGCCCTGGGTTCGATTCCTCAGCATCACATAAGCAAAAAGAAAAAAGCCGGAAGTGGTGTTGTGGCTAAAGTGGTAGAGCACTAGCCTTGAGCTGAAGAGCTGAGGGACAGCGCCCAGGCCAAGTTCAGGTCCCAGGACCGGACCAAAAAAACAAAACAAAAAAAAGAAGCTCAGGAACAGTGCCGAGGTCCTGTGTTCAAGCCCCAAGATAGAATCTCACAGACTTTTCTGCCTGGGCTGGCTTTGAATAGTCATCCTCTAAACCTTTGTCTGAGGATTACAGGTGCCCAGCAACATTTCTTTCCCCAATTCTGGGGCTTGAACTCAGGACTTGGGCACTGTCCCTGAGCTTCTTTTGCTCAAGGCTAGCACTCTACCACTTGAGCCATAGCACCATTTCTGGTTTTCTGGTGGTTGACTGGAGATAAGATGTTCCTGCCTGGGCTGTCTTTGAACCTTGATCCTCAGGTACCAGCCTCCTCAGTAGCTAGAATTACGGAGCCACTAGTGCCCGGCTCCAGATATTCTTGAGCTTGATCATGTCATAGAATATTTGGAGGTAATCATGAATACCAATATAAGCAGCTGGGTGCTAGTTGCTCACTACTCAGGAGACTGAGATTTGATCAGCCTGGGCAAGAAAGTCTGCAAGACTCTTAATTCCAATTAACCAGCAAAAAGCCAGAAGTGGAGCAGCAACTAAAGTGGTAGAGAGCCAGCTTTAAGCAAAAAGGTAAAAGGCAGTGCCCAAGACCTGAGTTCAAGCCCCAGTACTGGCATAAAACAAAACAAAACAAAGAATATTACCTAATCTGATAATGCTTTATGCTGGGCTCTTCCCCCCTCTTTTTTGGTGGTACTGGTGATTGAACTCAAGGCCTCAAGCTATTGATTAAGATAGAATCTTGTTATCCTGTTTCCCCCAGGCTGAATGCCAGTGATTCACTGGCCCTTTGACTCCAGGGGTCTAGATGACCCTCAATGTGCACTCTGGCTCTGGAACTGTCATCCAACAGCCTGAGGTCAAAGGGCCAGTGAAGCACCAGCAACCCTCAGATGACCCATCATGCAAAAACCGGGAGTAGGATTAAAGGTCAAATAAAAAACTACCTCCAGAATTGCATCTTCGAGCAATCTCCCAATATACTAGCCCAAGGGCATAAATATCAGCACATTTAAAGGAGTCGAAATGTTTCATGTTAATGGTTTCATCAAGTACTTCAGGAGCCATGTATCTGCAAGAGCAAAAAAAAAGAAACATGGTTATGCACAGAACATGATGACTGTTCTCGGAATGTGGGAGAGCATCATTCCTGTATAGGCCTTTGGGGACAAGTGGGCACTTGTGTTTATTGTACACACTCACGTTCTAAATTCAAGCTTAAACACTTTAGTACCAATTTGGCAATATTAGGCTACTCTTATGTCTGTGAGTGTGTGTTTGTTGGTTGGTTGTAGGGCCTGAACTCAGGGCCTGGGCGCTGTCCCTGAGCCTCTTTATGCTCAACACTAATCCCCTACCACTTGAGCCACAGCTCCACTTCCAGTTTTTGAGTAGTTAATTGGAAATAAGAAGTCTCATGGGGACTTTTCTGCCCAGGCTGGCTTTGAACCATGATCCTTAGATCTCAGCCTTCTGAGTACCTAGGATTACAGGTGTAAGCCATTGGCACCTGGCTTGGTTATTTTTTATTTATATTCCTACCAGTGCCAGGGCTTGAACTCAGTGCTTCACACTCTTGCTTGGCTTTCTTATTCACTGCTGGTGCTCAACCACTTGGGCCATACCTCCAGTCTGGCATTGTCCTGGCAAACTGGAGATGGGAGTCTCAGACTTTTTTGCTTGCACTGCCTGTGAACAGCGATCCTCCAGATCTCAGTCTCCTTAGTAACTAAAATTATAGGTGTGATCCACTGACACCTGGCTATTTATTTTTTTGAAACGGTCTCACAATGTTGCATAAGCTGACGTCAAACTCCTAATTACCTTGCCTCAGCTTCCTAAAGGATATGATTACATGCACGTACTACCAAGCATAGCTGTATTTTAGCAGTATGGTGGTTTGAACTCAGGGTCTCACACTTGCTAAGTAGTCATTCTACAACGTAAGCCATATCTCCAACCCATTTAGGGGGTTATTGTTTTGAGATAGGGCTTCCCTTTACGTTCTCACCTGGACTGTGGTCCTATATGTGCTTCTCCTATCTCTGGTATGACAGGTGTATGTTACTGTGCCCAGCCATTGGTTGAAAGGGAATCTAACTTTTTATATTTTTGTCCAAGGCCGGCTGCAAACCATAATTCCCCCATACCTACCTCCCATGTAGCAGATCTGTATCTTTTTTTATCATTATGATCTACTGATTGAAGCCTCTTGATTTCTCAGCAGAGGGTATGCAGTGGGCCACATAAGCATTATAGTACATAGCATTTGGTTGCTACTAGAACTTTTCACTCTATTGAATGAAGAAGCTGCAGGAATGGATTGCATTTAAATTTCATTCTGAGCTAGGTGCCGGTAGCTCATGCTTGAAATCCTAGCTACTCAGTAGGTTGATCTGAAGATTGCAGTTCAATGCCAGGCTGGGGAGGAAAGTCCATGAGACCCTTATCTCCAATTAAGCACCAAAAAGGCTGGAAGTGAAGCTGTGGATCAAGTGGTAGAATGCTAGTTTTGAGCAAAAAAACACCTCAGGGTAGCATCCAGGCCCTAAGTTCAAGCTCCAGGATAGGAACAAAAAACAGTAACCAAAAATAATTTTATTCTGAACTTTTGTTATCTGCTTGATTGCAGACAGGTGATAATTCTAGAGTCACCCTTAGTGAAAGTTACCCTTTTCTGACTTTAAGTAGTAATTACAATTAATTACTATGACTTGAGCCTCTCACAATACACCAGTGGATCACCTGAGGTTCCACACTTCGGAGTCTGGGTGGCTGCAGCAATCATTCAGGTCAAAAGCAAGCTGGACACTAGTGGCTCAAACCTTTAATCCTAGCTACTCAGGAGGCTCAGACATGAGGATCACAGTTCAAAACCAGCCTGGGTAGAACAGTCCCTAAAACTCTTATCTCCAATAAACTACTCTGAAAAAGCCAGAAGTGGTGCTGTGGCTCAAGTGAAAAGTGCTAGCCTTGAGTAAAAGAAGCCCAGGGACAGTGCCCAGGCCCTGAGTCTGTTTAAGCCCCAGAACCTGGGGGGCCCTGAGGGGGTGGGGAGGAAAGAACGAAAAGGAACCACACAACTTAATGAATTCACTTAGATTCAGCACATAGACTCTTCTGACATCTTTGACAAGGCAGCCCTATTTCCACCCAGGCAGCAAACGACAATGCCTTTACTTCCAAGTGAAACAGGAAGCAGGCCACAATCCCTGAGCAGCCCGAGCCCCATCTCAATCAACTCTGTTCCGCACAGAATAGGCCACAGTCTCCTCCAAGTTTCTGCACAAGCTACCCTTTGGACCAAAATATTTCATCTTTTCCTCTAGCACACCTTGTGTCTACCATGTTCCAAATTCTCCATTGCCTTCACTTGTAATACCACCAGCTGTGAGTATACATTTCCACAGAGCTGTAGTCCCAGCACTGGAATCTGTTATGTGTGACTACATGGCTTGCAGTGTGGGGAGTGGTTGTTTGACTCAGCTTATAGCTGCCCAAGGGGAAGGGCCACCCGTCCTTTTGTTTACATTTCTCCCTGTGTACATGGAAAGGATACATAAGACTCAGGACAAGCTGGTAAGTGAGGGCAGAAGCTTAGCACCTTCTTACCGTTTGGTTCCCACCCTCTGATTTGGAGCAATGTCAATGGTGTCAGTGACTGCATCATGACGGACAGCCAGGCCAAGGTCTGCAATGGCACACATGCCATTTTTCTTCACCAGGATGTTCTTTGACTTTAAGTCTCGATGAGCAATTCCAGGCTTTCCTAGTGGAGACAAAACCAGGATTTTTTTTTTTTAAAGGTAGTAAAACTGTTAAGAGACTTTACAGCCAAGACTGGGTGTGCTCAAGTTCTTGTGTTACTTCCTGTATCCATTGATCCATGGGTACTACAGAAATGACCTATGTGTAAGTAAAGGCTTAAGGCAGAGGTGGGTATTTGGTAACAGAACTACTGATACAGCTGCCTCCAGCAGGCCATAAACAGTAAGGTCTAAGAGCAGCTCAGAGGAGTTCAGAATCAAATAGGCCTGAACGTGAACACTGATGGGATCAGCACAGAGATCAGTAACAGACCCAACTGTCATACTTTGTTTCTTATCATGGCTAGCAAAAGCTGTTTGCCAAGTCAATCAGGCACTAGGGATTCCACCTGCAGCTGGGCAAAACCAGGATCTCCCAGAGTGAACATTACAGTCAACGAGCAGCCAGGCTCTGGGTCTTCTGTCTCCAGGAAGACCTTTCTAGCTAGGACAGCCCAGTGTTTCACTAGCACACAGTCTGCAAGTCAGTATCCACACGTAAAATTACTACCATGTAAAATTACTGCCATGTGAAATTACTGAGTTGAAGCTGGGCATGGTAGTACATGCCTGTACAGCTACAAGGGAGGTGAATATGGGAAGATCTTGAAGTCAGCATGAGCAAAAAAAATAGTGAGACTCTACCTCAAAAAGATCAAGCTGGTCCACATGTTGGTGGCTCACACCTGTAATCCTAGTTACTGTGGAGGCTAAGATCTGAGGATCACGGTTAAAAATCAGCCCAGGCAGGAAAGTCCATGAGATTCTTATCTCAAATGAAACACTAAAAAAGCCAGAGTGGAGCTATTGCTCAAGTGGTAGAGTGCTAGCCTTGAGCACAAAAGGTTAGGAACAGGGCCTTGGCTCTGAGGTTCAAGTCCTGGGACTGGCACACACAAAAAACAAAAACATCAAGCTGGGAAGGTGGCTCAGTGGTAGAGCGCTTGCCTTGCATGCCTGAGGCTCTGGGTTCGATTCCTCAGTACCACATAAGCAAAAAGAAAAAAGCCAGAAGTGGCGCTGGGGCTCAAGTGGTAGAGTGCTAGCCTTGAGCTGAAGAGCTGAGGGACAGCGCCCAGGCCCAGAGTTCAGGCCCCACGACTGGACCCCTCCCCCCCAAAAAATCAAGCTGGGTATGGTAATATATAACTATAGTCCCAGTTATGGGGAAGGCAGAGGTGGGATGATCAAGTTCTAAGGTGGGCCTTGGGCAAAAACAGAAGGTCCAATTTGAAAAACAAGCTAAAAGGGCTGAAGGCATGGCTTAAGTCATACAGCAACTGCTCAGCAAGCATAGGTCCTAAGTTCAATTCCCAGTACTATCAAAAAAAATAAAGAAGTGGGGGGGGGGGACAGTGGCTCATGCCTGTAATCATAGTTTCTCAGTAGGCTGAGATCTGAGGATCTCAGTTTGAAGCCAGCCCAGGGCAGGAAAATCTGAGAAACCCAATGTACTCTCTCTCTCTCTCTCCCTCCCTCTCTCTTACACACACACACACACACACACACACACACACACACACACGCTAGAAGTGGAGCTAAGTCTCAAGTGATGAAACACTAGTCTTGGGCAAAAAAGTTTAGGGATAGTACCCAGGTCCTAGGACTGGCACACCAAAAGAAAGAAAATAAATACTAAAGTGTTGCTAAAAAGCTCCTTGGGGGCTGGGTTCTTTTTAGTTCCATTCTCCTATATGTGCACTGTTGAGCATCTGAAGTGGTTACTTCTTAGCAAATAACTATGTCACACCACTGACAACTGAACCTTACAGTAAGACCTTCCTAAGGAACTTCTGGTGTTTAACTGGAGATAAGAGTCTCACAGATTTTCCTGACCCGGCTGGCTTTGAACCAGGATCCTCAGATCTCAGCCTCCTGAGTAGCTAGATTGCAGGCGTGAGCCACCGGTGCCCTGCCCTAAGGGACTTCTAAAGACTGGGGAGGAGTGTCTGTTCATCTTTTTATCCCCCCAGTCCTGGGGCTTGAACTCAGGGCCTGGGCACTGTCCCTGAGCTTCATTTGCTCAAAGTTGATACTCTACTATTTGAGCTACAGCACCACTTCTGGCTTTTTCTGTTTATGTGGTACTGAGGAATGAACCCAGGGCTTCATGCATGCTAGGCAAGCGCTCTAGCACTGAGCCATATTCCCAGCCCTCTATCTTTTTGTTCTCACTCAGATAAAGCTCAAGCCTCTGCCTTTAGACTACGCTCCTGAGGTCCATTCCCAGCTTTCCCAGCAAAAAGAAGTTCTAGGAACAAAATCAGGATGAACAGGCTATCAGCCAAAACTTTCTATTCCTCATTCAAGTCCACTTACCTTGAGTGCCCACAATCTCCATATGCAGGTGTGCTAAACCACTGGCTGCAGACAGGGCCAGCTTAATCATACCCTCGATGGTCACTGTGTAGCGGTTCAGATAATCAAACAGGGAGCCATGCTCATGATAGTCAGAGACAAGCCACAGCTGTGTCCAGGTTCCATTATCTGCAGAGAACATATACATTCTAGAAAAGGCATAATCATCAGAACAGGGATAATGTGTATAACACAAGATCCAAGCGGACCCTGAATTTATGTTTCTTGCCTCCACATCCCTTAGTGCCCCCTTCGTCTACTCCATCACAGTGGCCCAAAGTTCTAGGCTCCAGTGAGGGCTCAGACTGTAGAACGATTCTAAACAGAAGTCCATTTTTCTGCCAAGTCTGAGACACTAAAAAAAGTGCATTTAGGAAAAGCAACAGGCTGACCAGTTTTGTTGCCTTGCTGCTTTTGATCCTGAAGGGATTCACTCGCTCAATTGCATTAGAAGTACACTTGGCGGCACCCCGCATGCCAAGGAGGAAGGCCTGGAGGGTCCTCTGTGCTTCCTCAGCCCTCTAACGCAGCCCAGCCACAGCGCCTGTCTCTCTCAGCTAGGAATACTCAGTGAGAGCAGGAAAGATCTCCTTCACACATTATTGTGTAACAGGCCAAAAAGTACACTTCAACTCACAAACAATCCACCTCCAAGTATTTCCATAGAGGCCATCTCACCCTTCAGGAGAGCAATGGGAGGCAGGGAGCACATATACTCGCAATGGGCTCTTACACACAGGGAAGTGGGAAGGAAGGAAGAGCCAGGATCAGTTAGGAAGGACTGGAAGGAGAAAAAGGAAACAACAGAAGTCGATAATCTAATCTAATTAGGCCATGTTACTGTCACTAGAAGACTGGAAATTGGATTGAGAACTCCCAAATTCTAGGCTGGTGCAAGGTCCAGGCTCCATACTAAATATGGTGGTAAAAAGACAAGAACAAAGGAGTTTGATCTTTCTCCTACCCTTGGCCCTACAGTGGGTTTCGACAGCCAGATCCCTTCTCACACAGAATCAACAGACAGAGTGGCTGCTGGAAATGCCCCAGCCTTGGCTTCTCTTATCCAACATACAAGCTCCCCACACTCTAGCTGACCACCAGGTTTGAGGAACCTCCTAAGTGAAAGGGAAGACAGGTTTTCATCCTTTCTGATGTACACAATTTCATCAAAAACTGTAAAGAACAGCTTACTCACAGGGAGTGACCCCTTCTCTTCCCTTCTACACAAGTCCCAAGACTCCTCGGCATGGGGGCAGCTGGGACCATCAACGGCCTCCACAATAGTGAAAGGAATAAGCAGTCTGTTGTTTTAGGAACAAAAACCAAATACTTAGCATCTTCCACAGACTTCACACACTAACTTCCAAGTGCCACTGCGCAAGCTGTATCACAACTGTCAGAGACTCTTCTAGAATACAGCCTCAGTCCTCTCTATTCCCTCAGGTCCTCTCTATGCTTCCTCCACTCTTCCTGGGAGCTCTGTGAGAACAGGAATGCTATCTTCTTATGTGTGATTAGAACAGCTGGTAAAGGTCCTTGTCCACAGGGGCAAATAAATGCTATTGCATTAATGAATGACATTCTAGTTACTACACACCTTTTCAGACTAAAATATGATCCTTTCCAGAAGCCCCATTACAACGTGGCCTCTGCCTACTGCTCCAGCTGTTTTTTTTTTTTTTTGGGTCCAGTCGTAGGGCCTGAACTCTGGGCCTGGGCGCTGTCCCTCAGCTCTTCAGCTCAAGGCTAGCACTCTACCACTTGAGCCACAGCACCACTTCTGGCTTTTTT